GCTGGTTTATCGTGCCCATTATGTCGGGCCGCGCATTTCATCAACAAATGTCCGCAATTTTTGAGGAGGACTCCGAGTCAACGCCTTGAAGTCATTTTAAAAGCGAAGCGATGCGTCAATTGTTTGAGCGCAAAGCACGCTGTACAAACGTGTCCAAGTCAATACTCATGCAGAATTTGCCAAAGCAAGCATCACTCGATGCTGCACGTTGACTCGGCTTCTTCCTCAACTGCATCCGCTGTCTCTAAAAAAAACGAAACCTCGTCGAGTGTGTCATCAGACTCCATCGCGATTACTTCGGCCACGGCATTATGCTCCCAGCTAACAGGCGTCGCGCTCCCGCAAATGTTACTCGCGACGGCCCGCGTCACCGTCGGTGCACCGTCGGGTCGGACTCTCACCGTGCGAGCGCTTCTCGATCAAGGCTCGGAGATCACCTTCATCACGGAGCGTCTCGCACAAACTCTCAGAATGCGTCGCATTCGCCAACCGCTCTCGATTTCCGCCGTCGGCGGAATGAACGCCGGAACTTGTCAATTCGCCGCTAAGATTCGGATCGCTCCGATCAATCAAGCTGCTCCCGTGTTCACGACAACCGCGTCGATTCTCAGATCTCTCACAAAATATTCGCCTTACAAGGCGAATTCCAACTATGATTGGAGCTATCTAAGCGATCTCAATCTGGCCGATCCGAATCCAACAAGCGCTGACCCGATCGAAATCCTGATCGGAGCAGACTTATATGGCGAATTGCTGCTTAGCGGCGTTCGTAAAGGCGCCCCTGGGCAGCCAATTGCGCAGCAAACCATTTTCGGCTGGGTTTTGTCGGGGCCCATGTCCGAGCTGTCGACGCAATCGCGAGCGATCACCGTTCAGCATTGCGCGAATTCGGAGGCTCTAGATCAGGAGCTCAGACGATTCTGGGAAATCGAAGAAACTCCTCGACAGGCTCTCCTCAGCCCTGAAGAGCAGCAATGTGAGGAGCATTTCACAGCCACGCATTCGCGCGGTGCTGACGGTCGATACACAGTGCGCCTTCCGTTTAAGAGCGGTCCGCCGATCGACATCGGCGATTCGCGCCACACGGCTGAACGCTTCCTGCGAGGATTGCATCGTCGCTTCCTTCTACATTCCGACCTTCGTGCGGCCTACGCCGAATTTATGCACGACTACGAATCATTAGGACATATGAACGAAGTGAAGAGCGATCAAGTTGCCTCGCAGGAAGTGTATCTCCCTCATCATCCTGTCATTCGCGACAGCAGCGTTACGACAAGATTGCGAGTCGTATTTAACGCGTCGAGTCTGACGACCAATTCAACGTCGTTGAATAATCACTTGCTCACCGGGCCAAAGTTACAAGCGGACTTATCGGCTGTCATTCTGCGCTGGCGACAGTTCCGCTACGTTTATGCTGCCGATATAACAAAAATGTATCGCCAAATAGTTATGGACCCGCGTGACATCGATTACCAGCGAATTCTATGGAGCGGCGCTCCTTCAGAACCCGCTCGAGCTTATCAGCTCACTACTGTCACATACGGCACAGCCTGTGCGCCATTTTTAGCGCTACGCGTCATTCGTCAGCTTGCTCAAGATGAGGGTAGTTCTTTCCCACTCGCTGCTATTGTTCTGCAGCAAAATACTTATGTCGATGACATTCTCTTCGGGGCGGACGACATACCTCTTCTTCGTCAAGTTCGCGAGCAGGTATGCGCGTTGCTTCGTCGAGGCCGATTCGAGCTGAGAAAATGGGCGAGCAACTCTTCTCAACTCCTCAGCGATATCGCTAGCGCAGATCACGGTCTAGTTTGCGATAAAATGCTTCAAACAGATGACCATCTTAAAATTCTCGGCATCCGGTGGAATCCGTCCTCTGACGCCTTTCAATTTAACGTCACACTTCCGCATTCCGAGCAGACTACCAAACGGTCGATCCTGTCAACTATCGCGAGATTGTTCGATCCGTTGGGGTGGAGTACTCCGGTTACCGTTGTCGCGAAGATTTTCCTTCAGAAACTCTGGCTGCTCAAAATCGGATGGGACGACGTGCTTTCCGCTGACATTCTCGATCGCTGGGACTCCATTCGCTCATCTCTCGCCGCTCTGCACGGTCTTCAATTGGACCGCTGGATTCAACGCGGTGCAGATTGCGTCAGATGCGACTTACACGGTTTTGCAGACGCATCTTCGCACGCTTACGCTGCCGCCGTGTATATTCGAATAGTTTCGTTATCCGGTGAAATAACAGTACGATTGTTAATCGGAAAATCAAAAGTCGCGCCGATAAAAACATTAAGTATTCCACAGCTGGAACTCGCCGCTGCCGTGTTACTCGCGAAACTAATCGATTTTGTCAAATCATCCCTGCATCTCCCTGCAGATTCTTGCCACTGTTGGACCGATTCCACGGTAGTTCTCGCGTGGGTGGCGCAACATCCATCAAAGTGGAAGACGTTCGTCGCGAATCGCGTCTCTGAAATACAATCTAGACTCCCAAACGCGCAATGGAGACACGTCCCCACTGATCACAACCCCGCGGATTGCGCGTCACGCGGTATACCCGGTGAGAATTTTACCTCTCACACGCTCTGGTGGCGGGGACCTGCTTGGTTACATTTTTCTGAATCCGAATGGCCGGCGCCATTCGATTCGTCTCTTTCGATGCCCACGATGGAGCGAAAAGAAAACGCGGCGTCTCATCTCGTGTCGCGACGAAAACCATGGGACCTTGCCGCACGGTACTCTTCGTGGCCGCGTTTAATTCGTGTCACCGCCTACATCATGAGATTCATCTCAAAGCTTAAAAGACACTCGGTGCCGCGCGACACATGCGACGAAGGCTCCCGGTCAATTTCCGCGCTCGAATGTAGAAAAGCACGAGACTTTTGGTTGTTGCAAATTCAATCAGAATTATTCGCGCGGGAAAAGGAATCGTTGTTGCAGCAACGTTCGATTCCAGCAAAGAGTGCATTGTTGTCTTTCACGCCATTTCTCGGCGAAGACAAACTAATCCGCGTTGGCGGGCGGCTGTCGCGTGCCCCCATGCGGTTCTCCGAAAAACATCCTATAATCTTAGCTGCACATCCTCTTGTGAACCTCCTCGTGCAGCACGTGCATTTAAGATCTCTTCACGCGGGGCCTCAATTAACTCTAGCTACTCTTCGTCGAGAGTACTGGATATTGCGTGCTCGAAATATCGTCAAAGCTGTCGTTTTCCGCTGCGTAGTATGCACGCGTGAAAAGGCAGCTACTCCCAATCAATTGATGGGAAACTTGCCTTCGGTGCGCGTTTCTCCTCCTGCGCGCGCGTTTATTAATTGTGGTCTCGATTATGCTGGTCCCGTTTTAATCAGATCAATGTCGGGACGCGGTGTCGCTTCCCGCAAAGCCTACATCTCCATCTTCGTCTGTATGGCCACGCGAGCCATACATTTAGAATTAGTCGAGAGTTATTCCACTCCAGCCTTCTTAGGCGCCTTTTCAAGATTCTGCTCCCGACGTGGCATGCCTGAATCAGTCTACTCTGATAATGGAACCACTTTTGTAGGCGCCGATCGCGAATTGGCCGCATCATTTCGAGCCGCGCTGCGCGATCCAACTTTTCAAAATAGTGCCGCTTCCGACGGGGTGTCATGGCACTTTATGCCTCCATCCGCGCCTCACTTCGGCGGACTATGGGAGGCCGGGGTTCGCAGTGTCAAGTATCATCTTCGCAGAATCGTCGGTTCACACACTCTTACGTTCGAAGAGTTCACAACGATTCTCTGCAACATTGAGGCCTGCCTAAACTCGCGCCCTATCGCGCCTCTCACTGATTCCGTCGACGATTGCGATTCTCTGACGCCCGGTCATTTCTTGATCGGATCCGCGATTACGATCGCGCCTGAACCCTCTGTACTGCATCTAAATGAGAACCGTTTGACGCGCTGGCAACTTGTTCGCCAGCTCACAGAACGTTTCTGGAAAATCTGGCAGCAGGACTACATCAATACCTTGCAACAACGCGTCAAATGGAAGCAAGTTTCGAAAAACGGAGTTCGCGTCGGGTCACTGGTCCTGTTACGCAATTCTCTCCTTCCGCCGTGTAAGTGGGACTTAGCTCGCGTCATCCGATGTCACCCGGGTCCAGACGGTTTGATTCGCGTCGCGACGGTGAAAACCGCGACTTCCGAATATACTCGGCCTATTGTCAAATTATGCTTACTTCCGATAGACGTCGAAAGCCTGGACAACCTTACGTAATTAAGGTCAGACTCCAGATATCGCTTTAAACTCATTCTGTCAAACGACATACCGATCGCTTCACCAGTCGCCCCTCTTTTTTTTGTTGTTCAAGTCATTTCGAAACGATGGTTTCGAGGCGGGCGGTATGTTTAGACACGACTACAAATAATAATTAGAAGGCTATCGATCAGCTCGTTAAACCTTCAACTTTGAAAACACCAAGGAGCTTATGTCAATGTTTTCGCTCCTCGGTTCGCGTTCACCGATGTTTGCGTCCATTTAGACACGTGTCATCCGGCTGATGCGTGATTTTGGTTCCCCTTCTCAGTCGGGAAAATCAGGAAGTTTCGCCGTACGTGGCGATTCTCGCATTATTCTGTAAAGAGCTGTTGAGCGAGAACATGCTCTCAAGTAATATAATATTTTTCAAAAGTTAAACGATTCAAAGTTACTCCGCCTTCAGTATCTCCTCGCCACTGCTCCCTTGGTTCCTACCTCGCGTTCTTTCGGAGCGGTCCCGGCTATTCATTAAAGTTCACATTAAATCGATAAAAAAAAAAGGAAGAAGAAACCTTCGAAGTGTGAACATAAAATTATGTCGGGCCGCGCATTTCATCAACAAATGTCCGCAATTTTTGAGGAGGACTCCGAGTCAACGCCTTGAAGTCATTTTAAAAGCGAAGCGATGCGTCAATTGTTTGAGCGCAAAGCACGCTGTACAAACGTGTCCAAGTCAATACTCATGCAGAATTTGCCAAAGCAAGCATCACTCGATGCTGCACGTTGACTCGGCTTCTTCCTCAACTGCATCCGCTGTCTCTCAAAAAAACGAAACCTCGTCGAGTGTGTCATCAGACTCCATCGCGATTACTTCGGCCACGGCATTATGCTCCCAGCTAACAGGCGTCGCGCTCCCGCAAATGTTACTCGCGACGGCCCGCGTCACCGTCGGTGCACCGTCGGGTCGGACTCTCACCGTGCGAGCGCTTCTCGATCAAGGCTCGGAGATCACCTTCATCACGGAGCGTCTCGCACAAACTCTCAGAATGCGTCGCATTCGCCAACCGCTCTCGATTTCCGCCGTCGGCGGAATGAACGCCGGAACTTGTCAGTTCGCCGCTAAGATTCGGATCGCTCCGATCAATCAAGCTGCTCCCGTGTTCACGACAACCGCGTCGATTCTCAGATCTCTCACAAAATATTCGCCTTACAAGGCGAATTCCAACTATGATTGGAGCTATCTAAGCGATCTCAATCTGGCCGATCCGAATCCAACAAGCGCTGACCCGATCGAAATCCTGATCGGAGCAGACTTATATGGCGAATTGCTGCTTAGCGGCGTTCGTAAAGGCGCCCCTGGGCAGCCAATTGCGCAGCAAACCATTTTCGGCTGGGTTTTGTCGGGGCCCATGTCCGAGCTGTCGACGCAATCGCGAGCGATCACCGTTCAGCATTGCGCGAATTCGGAGGCTCTAGATCAGGAGCTCAGACGATTCTGGGAAATCGAAGAAACTCCTCGACAGGCTCTCCTCAGCCCTGAAGAGCAGCAATGTGAGGAGCATTTCACAGCCACGCATTCGCGCGGTGCTGACGGTCGATACACAGTGCGCCTTCCGTTTAAGAGCGGTCCGCCGATCGACATCGGCGATTCGCGCCACACGGCTGAACGCTTCCTGCGAGGATTGCATCGTCGCTTCCTTCTACATTCCGACCTTCGTGCGGCCTACGCCGAATTTATGCACGACTACGAATCATTAGGACATATGAACGAAGTGAAGAGCGATCAAGTTGCCTCGCAGGAAGTGTATCTCCCTCATCATCCTGTCATTCGCGACAGCAGCGTTACGACAAGATTGCGAGTCGTATTTAACGCGTCGAGTCTGACGACCAATTCAACGTCGTTGAATAATCACTTGCTCACCGGGCCAAAGTTACAAGCGGACTTATCGGCTGTCATTCTGCGCTGGCGACAGTTCCGCTACGTTTATGCTGCCGATATAACAAAAATGTATCGCCAAATAGTTATGGACCCGCGTGACATCGATTACCAGCGAATTCTATGGAGCGGCGCTCCTTCAGAACCCGCTCGAGCTTATCAGCTCACTACTGTCACATACGGCACAGCCTGTGCGCCATTTTTAGCGCTACGCGTCATTCGTCAGCTTGCTCAAGATGAGGGTAGTTCTTTCCCACTCGCTGCTATTGTTCTGCAGCAAAATACTTATGTCGATGACATTCTCTTCGGGGCGGACGACATACCTCTTCTTCGTCAAGTTCGCGAGCAGGTATGCGCGTTGCTTCGTCGAGGCCGATTCGAGCTGAGAAAATGGGCGAGCAACTCTTCTCAACTCCTCAGCGATATCGCTAGCGCAGATCACGGTCCTAGTTTGCGATAAAATGCTTCAAACAGATGACCATCTTAAAATTCTCGGCATCCGGTGGAATCCGTCCTCTGACGCCTTTCAATTTAACGTCACACTTCCGCATTCCGAGCAGACTACCAAACGGTCGATCCTGTCAACTATCGCGAGATTGTTCGATCCGTTGGGGTGGAGTACTCCGGTTACCGTTGTCGCGAAGATTTTCCTTCAGAAACTCTGGCTGCTCAAAATCGGATGGGACGACGTGCTTTCCGCTGACATTCTCGATCGCTGGGACTCCATTCGCTCATCTCTCGCCGCTCTGCACGGTCTTCAATTGGACCGCTGGATTCAACGCGGTGCAGATTGCGTCAGATGCGACTTACACGGTTTTGCAGACGCATCTTCGCACGCTTACGCTGCCGCCGTGTATATTCGAATAGTTTCGTTATCCGGTGAAATAACAGTACGATTGTTAATCGGAAAATCAAAAGTCGCGCCGATAAAAACATTAAGTATTCCACAGCTGGAACTCGCCGCTGCCGTGTTACTCGCGAAACTAATCGATTTTGTCAAATCATCCCTGCATCTCCCTGCAGATTCTTGCCACTGTTGGACCGATTCCACGGTAGTTCTCGCGTGGGTGGCGCAACATCCATCAAAGTGGAAGACGTTCGTCGCGAATCGCGTCTCTGAAATACAATCTAGACTCCCAAACGCGCAATGGAGACACGTCCCCACTGATCACAACCCCGCGGATTGCGCGTCACGCGGTATACCCGGTGAGAATTTTACCTCTCACACGCTCTGGTGGCGGGGACCTGCTTGGTTACATTTTTCTGAATCCGAATGGCCGGCGCCATTCGATTCGTCTCTTTCGATGCCCACGATGGAGCGAAAAGAAAACGCGGCGTCTCATCTCGTGTCGCGACGAAAACCATGGGACCTTGCCGCACGGTACTCTTCGTGGCCGCGTTTAATTCGTGTCACCGCCTACATCATGAGATTCATCTCAAAGCTTAAAAGACACTCGGTGCCGCGCGACACATGCGACGAAGGCTCCCGGTCAATTTCCGCGCTCGAATGTAGAAAAGCACGAGACTTTTGGTTGTTGCAAATTCAATCAGAATTATTCGCGCGGGAAAAGGAATCGTTGTTGCAGCAACGTTCGATTCCAGCAAAGAGTGCATTGTTGTCTTTCACGCCATTTCTCGGCGAAGACAAACTAATCCGCGTTGGCGGGCGGCTGTCGCGTGCCCCCATGCGGTTCTCCGAAAAACATCCTATAATCTTAGCTGCACATCCTCTTGTGAACCTCCTCGTGCAGCACGTGCATTTAAGATCTCTTCACGCGGGGCCTCAATTAACTCTAGCTACTCTTCGTCGAGAGTACTGGATATTGCGTGCTCGAAATATCGTCAAAGCTGTCGTTTTCCGCTGCGTAGTATGCACGCGTGAAAAGGCAGCTACTCCCAATCAATTGATGGGAAACTTGCCTTCGGTGCGCGTTTCTCCTCCTGCGCGCGCGTTTATTAATTGTGGTCTCGATTATGCTGGTCCCGTTTTAATCAGATCAATGTCGGGACGCGGTGTCGCTTCCCGCAAAGCCTACATCTCCATCTTCGTCTGTATGGCCACGCGAGCCATACATTTAGAATTAGTCGAGAGTTATTCCACTCCAGCCTTCTTAGGCGCCTTTTCAAGATTCTGCTCCCGACGTGGCATGCCTGAATCAGTCTACTCTGATAATGGAACCACTTTTGTAGGCGCCGATCGCGAATTGGCCGCATCATTTCGAGCCGCGCTGCGCGATCCAACTTTTCAAAATAGTGCCGCTTCCGACGGGGTGTCATGGCACTTTATGCCTCCATCCGCGCCTCACTTCGGCGGACTATGGGAGGCCGGGGTTCGCAGTGTCAAGTATCATCTTCGCAGAATCGTCGGTTCACACACTCTTACGTTCGAAGAGTTCACAACGATTCTCTGCAACATTGAGGCCTGCCTAAACTCGCGCCCTATCGCGCCTCTCACTGATTCCGTCGACGATTGCGATTCTCTGACGCCCGGTCATTTCTTGATCGGATCCGCGATTACGATCGCGCCTGAACCCTCTGTACTGCATCTAAATGAGAACCGTTTGACGCGCTGGCAACTTGTTCGCCAGCTCACAGAACGTTTCTGGAAAATCTGGCAGCAGGACTACATCAATACCTTGCAACAACGCGTCAAATGGAAGCAAGTTTCGAAAAACGGAGTTCGCGTCGGGTCACTGGTCCTGTTACGCAATTCTCTCCTTCCGCCTTGTAAGTGGGACTTAGCTCGCGTCATCCGATGTCACCCGGGTCCAGACGGTTTGATTCGCGTCGCGACGGTGAAAACCGCGACTTCCGAATATACTCGGCCTATTGTCAAATTATGCTTACTTCCGATAGACGTCGAAAGCCTGGACAACCTTACGTAATTAAGGTCAGACTCCAGATATCGCTTTAAACTCATTCTGTCAAACGACATACCGATCGCTTCACCAGTCGCCCCTCTTTTTTTTGTTGTTCAAGTCATTTCGAAACGATGGTTTCGAGGCGGGCGGTATGTTTAGACACGACTACAAATAATAATTAGAAGGCTATCGATCAGCTCGTTAAACCTTCAAATTTGAAAACACCAAGGAGCTTATGTCAATGTTTTCGCTCCTCGGTTCGCGTTCACCGATGTTTGCGTCCATTTAGACACGTGTCATCCGGCTGATGCGTGATTTTGGTTCCCCTTCTCAGTCGGGAAAATCAGGAAGTTTCGCCGTACGTGGCGATTCTCGCATTATTCTGTAAGGAGCTGTTGAGCGAGAACATGCTCTCAAGTAATATAATATTTTTCAAAAGTTAAACGATTCAAAGTTACTCCGCCTTCAGTATCTCCTCGCCACTGCTCCCTTGGTTCCTACCTCGCGTTCTTTCGGAGCGGTCCCGGCTATTCATTAAAGTTCACATTAAATCGATAAAAAAAAAAAAAAAGGAAGAAGAAACCTTCGAAGTGTGAACATAAAATTTTGGTCCTTCGAGCCGGATCGAGGTAACCCACGGTGAAAGCAGTGCGGTCGTCTCTCTCTCTATCTCTCTGCTGGACCTCAGTGACGGAGTCATCGTGTCGCCCGCACCCAAGGTGGAGACAGCCAACACGATGAGCGATCATCTCTCGCAGCAGCTAACAATGCTTCAATCTGTCGAGCGAGCGCTCTCCAACTTTAAAAAAGTTGGCAGAGCTAATTATACGGCGGCTAAGATTCGTCAACGAATGTCAACCTTGAAGGAGACCTGGACACGGTGCATCGAGAAGCACGCTATCTTGGCACGAGCGTTCACCGCCGAGCAGCAGCGGACCATGGACTACTTTTCGAACACGATTTTCGAAAATTGCGAGGAATACTACGAGACAACCCTCGACTACATGGCCGACTGCCTCGAAGAGCTGGATCCAACGCCCACCAGAACGAGCCTGTCGCAGTCCACGATAAGTACCGCTGAACCATCGTCTTTTTCTTTAACTCATTTGCCGCCGATTCAATTACCGCCGTTTTCGGGAAATGTCGAGGACTGGGAGAGCTTCCGCGATCGATTTACTTCTCTCATAATTCAAAATACCGAATTAACTGCATTTTCGCGGATGCATTTCCTAGCTTCAAGTCTCACCGGTCGTGCGTTCGACACTATAAAATCTATTCAAATCACCGCGGATAATTTTGATATCGCGTGGAAAACATTAGTTTCACGATTCGACAATAAACGACGGCTCGTCGACGTGCACGTATCAGCGCTATATTCTCTGCCGACGGTCGCTCGCGAATCCGCTGTCGAACTTAACGCACTTCGCGACAAAGCGAATCGCGCTATCGCTTCTTTAAAAAATTTAAATCGATCACCCGATCAAATGTTGAGCGATATGTTAGTTTTTAGCGTCACGCAAAAACTTGATCACGCCACTCGGAAAGCGTGGAAGTTAAAAACCGGTGACGACCCGAACATTCCTTCGTATGAAGCTCTCGACCGATTTCTCGACACGCGCATTCGTGCATTGGAGGAAATCTCTCCGGCTAATGCTTCCAAATTCTTGCGCGCGCCAAAGGTTACCAGTGCTAACGCCACTGCCGCTGGTTTATCGTGCCCATTATGTCGGGCCGCGCATTTCATCAACAAATGTCCGCAATTTTTGAGGAGGACTCCGAGTCAACGCCTTGAAGTCATTTTAAAAGCGAAGCGATGCGTCAATTGTTTGAGCGCAAAGCACGCTGTACAAACGTGTCCAAGTCAATACTCATGCAGAATTTGCCAAAGCAAGCATCACTCGATGCTGCACGTTGACTCGGCTTCTTCCTCAACTGCATCCGCTGTCTCTCAAAAAAACGAAACCTCGTCGAGTGTGTCATCAGACTCCATCGCGATTACTTCGGCCACGGCATTATGCTCCCAGCTAACAGGCGTCGCGCTCCCGCAAATGTTACTCGCGACGGCCCGCGTCACCGTCGGTGCACCGTCGGGTCGGACTCTCACCGTGCGAGCGCTTCTCGATCAAGGCTCGGAGATCACCTTCATCACGGAGCGTCTCGCACAAACTCTCAGAATGCGTCGCATTCGCCAACCGCTCTCGATTTCCGCCGTCGGCGGAATGAACGCCGGAACTTGTCAGTTCGCCGCTAAGATTCGGATCGCTCCGATCAATCAAGCTGCTCCCGTGTTCACGACAACCGCGTCGATTCTCAGATCTCTCACAAAATATTCGCCTTACAAGGCGAATTCCAACTATGATTGGAGCTATCTAAGCGATCTCAATCTGGCCGATCCGAATCCAACAAGCGCTGACCCGATCGAAATCCTGATCGGAGCAGACTTATATGGCGAATTGCTGCTTAGCGGCGTTCGTAAAGGCGCCCCTGGGCAGCCAATTGCGCAGCAAACCATTTTCGGCTGGGTTTTGTCGGGGCCCATGTCCGAGCTGTCGACGCAATCGCGAGCGATCACCGTTCAGCATTGCGCGAATTCGGAGGCTCTAGATCAGGAGCTCAGACGATTCTGGGAAATCGAAGAAACTCCTCGACAGGCTCTCCTCAGCCCTGAAGAGCAGCAATGTGAGGAGCATTTCACAGCCACGCATTCGCGCGGTGCTGACGGTCGATACACAGTGCGCCTTCCGTTTAAGAGCGGTCCGCCGATCGACATCGGCGATTCGCGCCACACGGCTGAACGCTTCCTGCGAGGATTGCATCGTCGCTTCCTTCTACATTCCGACCTTCGTGCGGCCTACGCCGAATTTATGCACGACTACGAATCATTAGGACATATGAACGAAGTGAAGAGCGATCAAGTTGCCTCGCAGGAAGTGTATCTCCCTCATCATCCTGTCATTCGCGACAGCAGCGTTACGACAAGATTGCGAGTCGTATTTAACGCGTCGAGTCTGACGACCAATTCAACGTCGTTGAATAATCACTTGCTCACCGGGCCAAAGTTACAAGCGGACTTATCGGCTGTCATTCTGCGCTGGCGACAGTTCCGCTACGTTTATGCTGCCGATATAACAAAAATGTATCGCCAAATAGTTATGGACCCGCGTGACATCGATTACCAGCGAATTCTATGGAGCGGCGCTCCTTCAGAACCCGCTCGAGCTTATCAGCTCACTACTGTCACATACGGCACAGCCTGTGCGCCATTTTTAGCGCTACGCGTCATTCGTCAGCTTGCTCAAGATGAGGGTAGTTCTTTCCCACTCGCTGCTATTGTTCTGCAGCAAAATACTTATGTCGATGACATTCTCTTCGGGGCGGACGACATACCTCTTCTTCGTCAAGTTCGCGAGCAGGTATGCGCGTTGCTTCGTCGAGGCCGATTCGAGCTGAGAAAATGGGCGAGCAACTCTTCTCAACTCCTCAGCGATATCGCTAGCGCAGATCACGGTCTAGTTTGCGATAAAATGCTTCAAACAGATGACCATCTTAAAATTCTCGGCATCCGGTGGAATCCGTCCTCTGACGCCTTTCAATTTAACGTCACACTTCCGCATTCCGAGCAGACTACCAAACGGTCGATCCTGTCAACTATCGCGAGATTGTTCGATCCGTTGGGGTGGAGTACTCCGGTTACCGTTGTCGCGAAGATTTTCCTTCAGAAACTCTGGCTGCTCAAAATCGGATGGGACGACGTGCTTTCCGCTGACATTCTCGATCGCTGGGACTCCATTCGCTCATCTCTCGCCGCTCTGCACGGTCTTCAATTGGACCGCTGGATTCAACGCGGTGCAGATTGCGTCAGATGCGACTTACACGGTTTTGCAGACGCATCTTCGCACGCTTACGCTGCCGCCGTGTATATTCGAATAGTTTCGTTATCCGGTGAAATAACAGTACGATTGTTAATCGGAAAATCAAAAGTCGCGCCGATAAAAACATTAAGTATTCCACAGCTGGAACTCGCCGCTGCCGTGTTACTCGCGAAACTAATCGATTTTGTCAAATCATCCCTGCATCTCCCTGCAGATTCTTGCCACTGTTGGACCGATTCCACGGTAGTTCTCGCGTGGGTGGCGCAACATCCATCAAAGTGGAAGACGTTCGTCGCGAATCGCGTCTCTGAAATACAATCTAGACTCCCAAACGCGCAATGGAGACACGTCCCCACTGATCACAACCCCGCGGATTGCGCGTCACGCGGTATACCCGGTGAGAATTTTACCTCTCACACGCTCTGGTGGCGGGGACCTGCTTGGTTACATTTTTCTGAATCCGAATGGCCGGCGCCATTCGATTCGTCTCTTTCGATGCCCACGATGGAGCGAAAAGAAAACGCGGCGTCTCATCTCGTGTCGCGACGAAAACCATGGGACCTTGCCGCACGGTACTCTTCGTGGCCGCGTTTAATTCGTGTCACCGCCTACATCATGAGATTCATCTCAAAGCTTAAAAGACACTCGGTGCCGCGCGACACATGCGACGAAGGCTCCCGGTCAATTTCCGCGCTCGAATGTAGAAAAGCACGAGACTTTTGGTTGTTGCAAATTCAATCAGAATTATTCGCGCGGGAAAAGGAATCGTTGTTGCAGCAACGTTCGATTCCAGCAAAGAGTGCATTGTTGTCTTTCACGCCATTTCTCGGCGAAGACAAACTAATCCGCGTTGGCGGGCGGCTGTCGCGTGCCCCCATGCGGTTCTCCGAAAAACATCCTATAATCTTAGCTGCACATCCTCTTGTGAACCTCCTCGTGCAGCACGTGCATTTAAGATCTCTTCACGCGGGGCCTCAATTAACTCTAGCTACTCTTCGTCGAGAGTACTGGATATTGCGTGCTCGAAATATCGTCAAAGCTGTCGTTTTCCGCTGCGTAGTATGCACGCGTGAAAAGGCAGCTACTCCCAATCAATTGATGGGAAACTTGCCTTCGGTGCGCGTTTCTCCTCCTGCGCGCGCGTTTATTAATTGTGGTCTCGATTATGCTGGTCCCGTTTTAATCAGATCAATGTCGGGACGCGGTGTCGCTTCCCGCAAAGCCTACATCTCCATCTTCGTCTGTATGGCCACGCGAGCCATACATTTAGAATTAGTCGAGAGTTATTCCACTCCAGCCTTCTTAGGCGCCTTTTCAAGATTCTGCTCCCGACGTGGCATGCCTGAATCAGTCTACTCTGATAATGGAACCACTTTTGTAGGCGCCGATCGCGAATTGGCCGCATCATTTCGAGCCGCGCTGCGCGATCCAACTTTTCAAAATAGTGCCGCTTCCGACGGGGTGTCATGGCACTTTATGCCTCCATCCGCGCCTCACTTCGGCGGACTATGGGAGGCCGGGGTTCGCAGTGTCAAGTATCATCTTCGCAGAATCGTCGGTTCACACACTCTTACGTTCGAAGAGTTCACAACGATTCTCTGCAACATTGAGGCCTGCCTAAACTCGCGCCCTATCGCGCCTCTCACTGATTCCGTCGACGATTGCGATTCTCTGACGCCCGGTCATTTCTTGATCGGATCCGCGATTACGATCGCGCCTGAACCCTCTGTACTGCATCTAAATGAGAACCGTTTGACGCGCTGGCAACTTGTTCGCCAGCTCACAGAACGTTTCTGGAAAATCTGGCAGCAGGACTACATCAATACCTTGCAACAACGCGTCAAATGGAAGCAAGTTTCGAAAAACGGAGTTCGCGTCGGGTCACTGGTCCTGTTACGCAATTCTCTCCTTCCGCCGTGTAAGTGGGACTTAGCTCGCGTCATCCGATGTCACCCGGGTCCAGACGGTTTGATTCGCGTCGCGACGGTGAAAACCGCGACTTCCGAATATACTCGGCCTATTGTCAAATTATGCTTACTTCCGATAGACGTCGAAAGCCTGGACAACCTTACGTAATTAAGGTCAGACTCCAGATATCGCTTTAAACTCATTCTGTCAAACGACATACCGATCGCTTCACCAGTCGCCCCTCTTTTTTTTTTGTTGTTCAAGTCATTTCGAAACGATGGTTTCGAGGCGGGCGGTATGTTTAGACACGACTACAAATAATAATTAGAAGGCTATCGATCAGCTCGTTAAACCTTCAAATTTGAAAACACCAAGGAGCTTATGTCAATGTTTTCGCTCCTCGGTTCGCGTTCACCGATGTTTGCGTCCATTTAGACACGTGTCATCCGGCTGATGCGTGATTTTGGTTCCCCTTCTCAGTCGGGAAAATCAGGAAGTTTCGCCGTACGTGGCGATTCTCGCATTATTCTGTAAAGAGCTGTTGAGCGAGAACATGCTCTCAAGTAATATAATATTTTTCAAAAGTTAAACGATTCAAAGTTACTCCGCCTTCAGTATCTCCTCGCCACTGCTCCCTTGGTTCCTACCTCGCGTTCTTTCGGAGCGGTCCCGGCTATTCATTAAAGTTCACATTAAATCGATAAAAAAAAAAAAAAAAAGGAAAATCTGGCAGCAGGACTACATCAATACCTTGCAACAACGCGTCAATGGAAGCAAGTTTCGAAAAACGGAGTTCGCGTCGGTCACTGGTCCTGTTACGCAATCTCTCCTTCCGCCGTGTAAAGGTTTATTTATATTTATTTGTAGTCGTGTCTAAACATGTATTTATATTTATTGAATCTGTTTTTTAATAAAATGTTTTATAAGCTTAGAAAACTTGACTTCGACGTAACTAGCAAATTTTATTTAATTATTTCACGACGGTTTGACGTAATAAAATGTTTTATTATTATTATATAAAATATAAGTTTAAATTCTTTAATTAATTTTTAATCTTTTATGATTAATTTAATTTACTCTAATTATTTTTGTACGAGAAAAATACTATCATGGGTATACGTTTTATAATTAATTTAATATATTTGTGTTTAAAAATTATATTTGACCTTTAATTTTAATTTTTATTTTATTAAAATTAATAATTAACATATATCTAAATTGCGAATATATGGATGAAAAAATCCCCATTATGTGTGTAAGAGATTTCGAAACTCTTTGCTAAAAATAATTAAAATTAAAAGTCAAATATAATTTTTAAACACTAATATTATTAAGAATATATAATTCGGTTCCCGAAATATATTAATTCATTATAAAATGTATACGTGATATTATTTTTCTCATATAAAAATGACTAGAATAAATTAAATTAATTATTAAAAAACTAAAAAGTAATTAAACGACATAGACTTAGATGATAATAATAATGAAACATTTTATTAAAAAAAGATTCAATAACTAGTAGGTCAAGTTATAATTTTTTATTTATTTATTTATAACATTATGAGCTATTAAGCTCATCATCTCGTTCGCTCTCTGTCTTGCTTTCATTCGGCAAGTCACAAATATATATGATACTCGTATGTTCCTACTTCAACTCTCGAGAATCTGAAACAAACGAAACTCGTGTCCAATATACAGGGTGTCCGGTAACTAACAGACCAATGATTACAAATGGATTCTTTGGTCAATTTGGGAACGAATTTTCTTCAGCGAAAATGTCGAAAAAAGTCATCATTTTTTACAACTTTCCAATCTTTGTCATTATATATCTTTATAACTAAGCCTTAAATTAAAATTTTATTATAGTAAACTCTACCTGAAATTAACTGAAGAATGTAATTATGTTAGACTTTTAACTCCAAAACGTTTAGTTTTCAAAAAACCTATTTTTTTCAATCGCTTATAACTCGAAAATTATTGACTTCTCTACATTTTTGCTAAGGAAAAATCGTCTCCAAATTGGCCAGAGAATCCGCCCTTAATCATTGGTCCGTTAGTTACCGGACACCCTGTATATATTATATAAAAGTGTATAGCACGTCAGAAGCTTGTGAGCTTACAGCGATAAGTAAAAACAATTGCGTATCTATTTCATTGCGTTTATCTGTTTAAACGCGCGCTTTAATTTTTCCAACGTTTTTGCCTGTTTATATTTTAAAGGTCCTCTCTTCTAAAAATCTTGTTTTAAAGATCCTCTCCGCGAGCAAAATTCGAAAACATAAATTATTTAATATTTTTACTTTATTATTTGTAAATCCTCGGTAATTTCAAAATTTTTCTATTTGAAAATTATTAATTTTCTATTGCCAATTAATTTTATCACAGACTTTACTCTTACTTCCATTGCACTTTCGTTTGCGGTTTTCAGTATACGATTTTTATCGTAGTTACTGAAAATTATTATTGTGAATTATACTTGTGCAGTGATTTGAAGAATTTACAATTTCGTTGAAATTGTTGATTCTTCAAAAAATTACGAGATTCGCGGAAATTGCGTGCTTTCTTGGCATTTTCCGTTCGCGGCAGGCGGTTTATTTTTTATTGTTGCAAGTGTTTTTTTTTTTTTTTTTTTATTAAAATAGATAATAATAATGTGAAATAAATCACGATATTTGACAGATGTGCATATATATAGAAATTGTAATAATAATAATATTATATCATAAAATTGTAAATTGTTTCAATTTTTTATAGACTGCGATAAAAGATTTTACATTTGGATAAGAAACTGCGGTAAGTAAAAATATAAAATTCTTGAAAACGTACCAAAATATTTGATAACGTAAAAAGGTGAACTTTGAAAAATAAGGAACTTAAAAATTGCACTAATAAATGGGCTATATATGAGCCGTGCGCGGATGTAAGGTGTGTTATATCGAAATTTAATTAATAGAATTGAGAATTAATCCCAATTTTAAGTCTTACAAATGTCCAAGCTAATTTTTTGTACCTCGTGTACATTTTTGAAAGTTATATCGAAAAATTAAATTTCAATATGCGTCTTACATCTCACATTTCGCATACGGCTCACATATAGCCTATTTATCTCTTATACTTTATTTCAACCCTTATAGAAATTTATTACTAGTAACGCCAATTTATCAATTTTATTTCGAGTAATTAATCACTTTTATTTCGAATACTTAAATTACTGTATATTATAGTATTTTAAATACTCGAAATAAGTGATTAATTGGCATAGTGATAAATTTCTACAAGAGAATGAGGAGCCTTTAAATTCTTAATGTAAAAAATTTCAAGTAATTTTTTTTAATAAAATTTAATTAAAAATTTTTGAACACTGTGTTATATCACATTTAAAATCGTGATTATTTCAATAAAAAAACATTTTATGTGTAAAAAATATATTTTTTATATTTAATAAATTTTATATATATATATATATGCATATGTAAAATATTCTCTTTCTCTTTCTCTCTCTCTCTCTCTCTCTCTCTCTCACACACACACACACACACACACACACACACACACACACAACGGGGGCCAAATCTCTCAAATTGGTCTCATGATCAATTAGCCTGGATTCGCACCAGGGGCAAAGTCTGTTGGTAATGTCAAACGAATTTAGCCTGGACTTGCACCAGGGGCAAAGTCTTTTGGTCGAGTTTACGAAATTTAGCACGGACTCGAACCAGGGGCAAAGTCTTTTGGTTCAAGTCTACGAAATTTAGCACGGATTCGAACCAGGGGCAAAGTGTGTCGGTAAGGGGCAAAGTCTATCGCACGAAGATGACGGTCTCTTCTTTAGGCAGGCCTTTGGCGATCTGTCTATTAATCTGTGTCGAGAGAGTCACAGAGAGATGCACGACGCGTACGCGTGATAGCGGCGTGCGCTGTCGTTTGCACTGTGGTCTGCGAGTGTCAAAAGTCAGTGAGAAAAAAATGCACTGGTTAAGATTCACCGGTGCGGTGCGCGTGATAGCGGCGCACGCTCACTGAGAGTCACTGTTAATCAATATAAGTCACGATTAATCATTGAGAGTCACTGCGATTATCGTAACGCAAAGCGCGTGCTTGCGGCGCTTGCGGATAACTCGCGAATGTTCACCGCACTCAATTAAGAAAATCACTGGTGCGTGATAGCGGAGTACGCGTGAAGTCATTAATCTCGAACGGCGTTTAACTGCCGTCCGAATGCAAAATTGCAAAGCGCGTGATAGCGGCGCTTGCACTGCAAGTGACACTTCAACGAAATTCTGACTACTCAAATGCAGAATTCGATGTACACCGGATACGTGAGGGTGCGTGACCGTCACGTGGCCGGAGCGCCGCGGCTTAGGCCGGAGCGACGGCAGGCGCGCGATCGAGAGAGCCGCAGCTAGAGAGAGAGAGAGCGAGAGAGAGAGCTTCGGAGCGCGCGGCGTGATACCGTCTCTCTCGCTCTTCGCGTCTTGGAGAGAGCGCGAGAGAGAGAGAGAGAGAGAGAGAGAGAGAGAAATTTCGGAACGCGCGCGACGGTGATCCGTCTCCCTCTCGCTCTTCGCGTCTTCGAGAGAGAACGAGAAAGAGAGAGAGAGAGAGAGAGAGAGACTGTTTCGGAGCGCGCGCGACGGCTAATTGTTGTGTAGCGCGGTCTCACTCCCGCACACGGAGTCTTTCTACTCCAAACGAGAACGCGTAATTAGCGGATTTCTCGTGCCGCGGATCACTGCGTTTTTAACTTTACTGCCCCGATATAGGCACACGAGGCAGAAATTGTCAATCGTTCGAATAAGGTACGAAACAAAGGAGCCCGTTCTTTTCGCGATTTCACTATCACTCGATCGGTTTTTAAAATCCGGCTCGAAGGACCATTTATATGTATAAGATTTAACGTTGTAGGATGCCGGGTTAACGTGATCAAATGATTGTACGCGTTTTGAAACGGTTTAAATTAGTTTAACGTATAAGACGGGCAACAAGAGCCAAATCGCGGATGACAATGCGTTATCCTAACGAAACTAAATAATTTTCCGTTAGAATTAAATACCGGTGCACAAGGCACCAAATTTTACTTGGACACGGCCAAGATTTTAAAATATGAAATAATCTCATATTTGAGATTTAATTTCAATACCCCCTTTTTTTTTTAACCCCCCTACGGAAATTAAATAAATGAATGCAAGAGAAAAATAGATCCGAAAATCGCTGAATCGGGAAACGAACCCGAGACCTTTCGCTTGCCGGGCGACTGCTCTTCCAGCTGAGCTATTCAAATCCTTTCGATTCTATACTTTTCTCTGTTATATATATTAATGTTGGTAAGAAACGCATTTTTAAGCAGCGTATATCAATATAAGAGTTTTTAACAAGGCTCTCTTTTTCTTTTTTTTTTTTTTTTTTTAACCCTCCTACGGAAATTAAATAAATGAATGCAAGAGAAAAATATAGATCCGAAAATCGCTGAATCGGGAATCCCCGATTTTCGGATCTATATGTTTCTCTTGCATTCATTTTATTAATTTCCGTAGGGGGGTTAAAAAAAAAAAGGGGGTATTGAAATTAAATCTCAAATATGAGATTATTTTATATTTTAAAATCTTGGCCGTGTCCAAGTAAAATTTGGTGCCTTGTGCACCGGTATTTAATTCTAACGGAAAATTATTTAGTTTCGTTAGGATAACGCATTGTCATCCGCGATTTGGCTCTTGTTGCCCGTCTTATACGTTAAATTTATATTTATATTACAGAGCCTTGTTAAAACTCTTATAAATTAGTTTATTCACTTTCTACAAGTTCGTCGCGTACCGAGACTTATGTTTCTCGGCGCTCGCTCTCTCGAGGACTGACTCGAGGGCTGCGCGAATTTCGGAGCTCGCGTAGGGCGGCAGCCGATCGGGGTCCTCGATTGGACCATCAGAAAATCAGGCGATGTACACACGCCAATTAGCGGCGAGTGTACACGTTGGTTTCACGTGTTTCCTTGGCGTAAACACTAAGGAATTTAACAAAAAAACATTCTAGAAAATTCGATCGTCCTCGAGGATTCGATCCGAAGAACGAATCTTCAACAATGTGGAAAGAATTTTATTAGAATTTCTCTACTATTTATTATATTAAAAATAATAATATGTATCACAAGAAAATATAAAATATGTTTGATTAATTTTACTATACAGTTTAGTAAAATTAATCACACATATTTCATATTTTATTGTGATAGATATTATTTTTAATGTGATAAATATTAATCAGAGAAATTTTAATAAAATTCTTTTCATACCGTATTGTCTCACAATTACCATAACTTTTAGGGTAAATTTTAAGAGAAAATTCTCTCAGTGTACCGATTAATTATTAAAAATTACTTGTAAAAAGGCACACGTTACTCGATGCGGACGACAATTGTTTACACGGCAAGGACACAACAGACTGCGCGACGCTTCGCGACACGTCTAGACGATAACAATCACGCGGCGTTGCCGAACATGTGATTGACGCGAGACATGTATTAAAACGTATAATAATTATGTTATTAAAAAAGGCATATTATAACGTATTATAATTTTTTACGTTATAATACATTTTTTTTAATGACTTAACATTATCCGCCCGTTTTGCCCTTTCTTTTTAAGCGAGACGTGAGAAAAATGATTATGTTTTGCGAACAAGATGTTCCATGTATAAATGTATTGGTCGCTCTGAAAAAAGCGGATTGACTTTGGTCGCTCTGAAAAGAGCGGATTGACTTTGGTCGCTCTGAAAAGAGCGGATTAATTTATAATAGGTGCTCAAAATGACCACCATCCATCCTTATGCAAGCTCGCATGCGTTTAAATAAATTTAATTGGACGTTCTCCATTACTTCCTCTTCGATATTCCAAATTACATATCGCAATCTGGTTTCTAAGTCGTCGACGTTCTCGGGAAGCGTTTTGTATATTGATTCCTTACAGTATCCCCATAAAAAGAAATCAAGAGAATTAAGGTCCGGGGATCTTGCGGGCCAACGTATCGGGCCATACCGACCCATCCAACGTCCAGGAAACTGCTTGTGCGCGACGGAAAGATGGATAGGACGTGGTCGGAAGCGAGACCGAGAAATAGACACAACACTCGACACACGCGTAACGTTCACAAAAAAAATATATTTATATAAACTATTAACAAAATTACAATTAATATACCGCACCGAATTTACCGAGAGAATTAGCCGAGTCGTAAATTACTAAGTGTCCGCAAGCAACGGTAATGAATTAGACAAAGACAAGCAATCTTTATCGTATGAACACACTTTATTCGCGATGAGCAATCGGAAAAAGCGCCGCGGTCGCGAGAGAGGAGGCTTATATACGCCTTGTAATTCTAGAATATTCGAGTACATTTGCTGTCGTTCTATTGTGATATTAAGGGCGAAGGAACGTTTACTGTAATTATTTACTTGTTTTTCTCTCCTCTCGCGCGACAGCGGTGTTTACAATTTAGACTGTTTTAAGCGCTTATTTTCGAAGGCGCGGAGTATCCGTATACTCTCGCGGCCGAGCGCTAATTTAAATATAATTTAAAATACGCATGTTAGACCACGATATTAATTAATAAATTATATGCATGCTGCATGAGGCATGATCGAGATGCATGAATATTTTAACGCTTTCTTGTCCGCGGGTTATTACCGTTCGAATCTCGAACATTCCGCCCGCCTTGCAGTAATATACCTGCAATCGTGTTCTCAGCGCGAGAGTGGGGCACGAGCCTATTCACGCGCTCGTGCGTGACGGACACGTGGAGCGCACGTGCTCCGATTGATTTAGAGAACGGAATGCTGAATCGATCAGCTGTTTATACTGGGAGTCAGTATAGACGCGTATAGGTTAAGCGTCGCGTAGACCGTATGCTGGCGATGTGCAAGTGACTGTGAGTGTGAAGTACAATTGTGAGGAGAATAATGAAAATTTAGTGAAAAAAAATAAATGAATGAATATGGAATAGAGAAAAGTGTAAATTTTTTTAAACGCGGACGACGCGTGATTGCGATTCGAGTGAGTCTTCGGAGCCGTCGGTCAGAAAGACTAACTGTTCACGGGACGCGTCAAATTTGTGGTCGAGGTGCGGACGTCGACTACGCGAACGTTACCGTCGGAACCTGGATGCAGTCGTGTAATGCGCGCAAGCGGCCACCGTGTTGGTGGTGTTATTTCGTTTCGCACGAGGCAGATTAGACCGACGCGAGATCCTCCTGATTAATTCGGGACCATTTCGGCCGATGGGCCAGCGTGTGTAAGTATTCGCTGACCCACCGAGACCAGAAATGGTCCTTCATGTTTTGCAGGAGCTGCCACCGTGAGAGACGTGCCGACGGCTCTCGTTCGAGCGACGGTTCGGGGATCGCCGAGAGAGCGGAGCCGACCAGGAAGTGACCAGGTGTGAGTGCGGCTACATCCTCCGGATCGTCAGACAACGGCTGCAGCGGTCTGGAATTGAGGCAGGCCTCAATTTGGGCTAGGAGAGTAGTCATCTCCTCGTAGGTGAGGGTGGCGTCACCGATGACTCGCCGAAGGTGGTGCTTCATCGCTTTCACGGCAGCTTCCCATAAACCGCCGAAGTTAGGTGCAGCTGGCGGGTTGAACCGCCACCGGATTCTTTCCTGGGCGGCGAAGGTTGCGATGCGATGTCCGTCGGCACTGGCGGCGGAGAATAGTTGCCTAAGCTGCTTATCGGCACCCACGAAGTTGGTGCCGCAGTCGCTATATAGCGAGTGGCAGACTCCTCGCCTGGCGACGAACCGACGCAAGGCGGCAAGGAAGGCGTCAGCGGTTTAGTCCGAGGCCGCGTCGAGGTGGACCTGCTCGGGAAGCTAAACAAAATAAAGACAACAAAACCTTTTGTCGCCTTGAGTCCGCGGCCCCCTGCTGTTCGCATCCAAATCGGTCCGGCGTAGTCTACGCCGGTATGCAGAAACGGCCGGCCTGGAGTAACTCGTGGTGCCGGGAGGTCCCCCATCAGTGGCTGAGGGATGGCAGCCCGCCATCTGGTGCACCTTAGACACCGGCTGATGCGGCTCTTCACTAGAGCGCGACCTCGAGGGACCCAATACTCCTGGCGAAGAGAGCACAAAGTCAACTGGGTGCCGCCGTGCAGCGTCCGCTTGTGGTAGTCGTCGATGATGAGGCAAGTAAAATTAGATCTGCTTGGTAGTATGGTTGGATGCGTGGCATCATACTGCAGTGCAGCGTGTTTAAGGCGCCCGCCGACGCGTAGGAGTCCCTCACTGTCCAGAAAAGGACTTAGCTTCAGTAGGGAGCTTCGAGTCGGCAGAGGCTTTCCATTCTTCAGGTGTCTCAGTTCTTCTTTGTATGTTTCAGCCTGGATGATTTTAACCAAGGAGATCCGGGAGTCCTCGATCTCGTCGGCGCTGTTCAAGCCGGGCTGGCCATGCGCGAGGTGGTCCTGACGATGGATCCGCAGCCAGCGACGGCACCACGCAGTGATCCGGAGCAGGCGTTGTAGCGACGAGTATCGAAGAAGCATCTCCGGCTCAATCCTTTGTTCGGCGATGGCGGCGACGTGGGCGCGGACGCGCCTCTCTGGGAGGTCATCCTCTGGTGGCTCCTCGCAGTTTGATCGTCCACGGTTGGCTCTCGGAGGACAGCCACGACGGACCTTGCCACCATAGTGAATGGTCCACAAGCTCGCTGGGGTAGAGTCCTCGTGACGCGCAGTCCCGCGGGATTCTCTCGGCCGGGGACGTGGTGCCAGTGGGCGTCCGGAGTCAGCGTCTGGATCTCACTCACCCGATTAGCGACGTAAGTGACCCAGGACGAAGGGTGGCCCCGGATCCAGCCGAGAGTCACGGTGGAATCCGACCACAGATGGAGAGGCGCCTTTTCTGCGCCATAAGAAGCACGACGTGGGCGACCAATCAAGCTTGGTTTTCGCAGCTATAAAGTCACTCTCCTAACTCCGTTTGTGTTTGTTCGCAGTAGATGACTGCGGCGTAGGCAACGTTCGGAGGCATCGGCAAATCCGTGAAACTCTTGATGGGAGTCAGCTAGGGCTCCTAACCAACGAGGCACGACTAGTTTCTCTCCATGCCGCTAGCTCCTCCTGGAATCGCAGCCATTTTCTGCTTCCTCGCTTGGCAGAGACGCGTCCCAGTCGAGACCTAGTAGCCAGAGCCTGGATGTTGATTTTTGGCCAGCACAGTCTTGGAGACAGCCAGCCGAGTGGATCGAATAATTTGGCCGTCAAAGAAAGGACCGACCTTTTGGTGACCGCTGAGAGAGTGATCCGGTGGGTGGCGAAGGCGAAGCGGTCGTCGCACGGTTGCCATCGAAGGCCGAGAGTGGAATGACTCTCGCCGGGCAGCCACCATCTGGCCTCTTGTTGCAGGCGCGCGTCCGGTTCCACGAGGCTCAGCAGGTAGGAGGCGTTTGTAGACCACTTTTTTAGTGTGAACCCGCCCGCCGTGCATATATTTGTCAGCTGCCTCACCATAGATTCTGCTTCCTCTTGATTCTTGGCACCGGACAGGATGTCATCCATGTAGACATCGCTCCGCAGGATGTCGGCGCCTTTCGAAAGCGATGCTCTTCGTCCTCGTCGAGTTGGCGTAAGGTACGGATGGCCAGATACGGGGCGCATGAGAGCCCGTAAGTGACCGTGCATAGCCAGAACTCCTGACGTCGTTTCTTAGAGTCGTCTCTCTACAGGATTCGCTGCAGGCTTCGATCGTCCGGATGCACTAGGATCTGCCGATACATCTTTTCGATATCGGCAGCGAAGACGTATCTGTGGCGTCGCCAACGCAGCAGGATGTCAGCCAGCGCAGGAAGCAGATTCGGTCCAGTCAGAAGAAATTGGTTGAGAGAGTCCCCGTTCGGCAAGGAGCTCGAGCCGTTGAACACGACCCTCAGCTTAGTGACTGCTGTCCGGACGCAGGACCCGTGATGCGGCAGGTAACAGGTACCTCGTTGTGGCTCAGCTGGCGCTGGTGCAAGCATCATGTCGCAGTTCCTTTTACTTTTGCATGAACTCTACGTACATGTCCTTAAAGTCGGCATCTTTCTCTAACCTTTTCTCCGTCTGTTGCAGAGCACGACTGGCGGCGCGACGAGTCCCAGACAGATCCGGGAGAGGCTCGATCGTTGGCAGCCGCACTATGTACCTGCCGTCAGAGAGCGCGAGTGATGACGGCGGTAGTGCTCCTCGCACTCTAGTTCCGCCTTGGTGAGGGTCGGAGATGGCCGGTGGACTTCCTCCTGCTCCCAGAACCGCCGCACCAAGCAGGTGATGTCCTCCTCGATTTGGCAGTGTGAGCGGAGATGTGT